GAATTTAAAGGTGTTCATTTAACATTTATTAAATGGTAGGCTACGACAGTCAAATTATCGTTCAGAAATCGCACAATAACTTATTCGTGCATAGTTGATGCTTTGGGAAGGAATGGAGAACGTTGGGATCGCAGCTTGCGCATTTTTGAAGCTAATTCAGCGCGGCGGCTTTTTGGCCATCGCCGACGCTTACTTCGGCAATTTGATACATTTTTACTAAGATATTATATCTCGGTTTTTAGATCGTTGGATAATTTGCTACAATTATAATTTTTCGTATGTGTTAATTATAAGAAAAGTCTGCCCCGCAAGACATAACTTCACAACATTGTTTATAGGAAGTTATATAATTCAATGCTTAGTGATAATTACGATTTGTAAAATATTATGCAATTACAAAATTATAGATTTCATACTAAAATATATATGTATTTACTAATTGCGTAAATACATAATAAATCAGTGGCGCTACAACCTTTTTATGTCTGGGCCTCAGATTTCTGAATCCGTTTCACAATCGTTTTTCAATCTAATAGGCAAGTAGGTGATCAGCCTCCAGTGGCTGACACACGCCGTCGACTTTTTGGGTCTAAGACATGTCGGTTTCCTCACGATGTTTCCCTTCACCGTTCTAGCGAATGTTAATATAAAGTCAATTTGTGCGCAGCCGATGATCGAACCTACGACCTCAGGATGAGTCGCACGCTGTAGCCACTAGGCCAACACTGTTCTAAATGTAGATGTTATATTATTCGGCTTAGCAATACTTCGAATCGAGACCAAAAATGACAGTTCCAAATAAAGTCGCAATAAAAGTATTAGGATAAAACAAAATGTTATTATCTGAATTACATAAATATGTTAAAAACTGAGTTTACGCTTTTGATTTTAAATATAAATTAAGAGTACCTACTACTGGTAAATTCGGCGGCTTCCCCTAAAATATTTCGTACAATATTTGTTACATTTACTGAGCTGTATTTTATTTTGAGCTTCCAGCTAGTGGAATCAGTGAGGAGTGATTTATTAATTAATTTACTGACATATGGAGAAATACAACAAATGTGACGGTTGGAAATAATCGATAAAGAAAATCGACTTGTATAATAATAATAGTAGGAATAAAGATGAAGACATAGTTATCCAAATTTCTCCGAAAACCGAATTAAAATCCTTTGCGTTATTAAACATAAAGAAATCTTTACACCATAGCGATTGTCTGGTTTCACTTGACTGGACATTTATTATTTAATATAATAACAGCAAACTGCCCACGGACACTCACATTGCCAGAAGTCTCGCAAGTGCGTTGCCGGCCTTTTAAGAATTTTTCTTGAATGACCCTTAGTCGAACCGATTCTTATTTCGAAAATAAATGAAGCCTACGCTACTCAGGGACAATGTAGCGTTCTATTAACTATATATGTATTTAACAAACATTATACAAAATCTTACCTCTTTGTAATATTATTTTATAAAAAGAGAAACGTTTTAATAAAAATAATACCTAGTCACCCTTGTGAAATTTCCTTTAAATATTCTGATAATACACTTAACTTGGATAACATTTTTTATTCATACGTGTAGAAATCGCGAGTACATTAATTCTGTTTAAATGCCTGCCTCTGATACAGACCGCTTGCAATAAAAAATGTATTTTATTATCTAGAATAACGCGTATTCAAGATATGTGAATATAAAGACTTGTTATTCCATTTTTGGGCGAAATGTTTAAAAGTGACCGCGTTCTTTAGTGAAACATAATATTATGAAACTGCAGTTTTAGAGAAAAATCTTTTAAAAACTAGATCCTTTTTAAAACTGCATTAAAAACTGAAACCAAATATACTACTGATGTCATTATCAATAGTTCGGCTTTCTCGAAGCAAATGCTTACTTTATCTATCGGTGCAGCGATTGAAATTGAGTCTTGGACATCTCGCCATCCATTTTGCGGTGCTGCTTGCAATTCGGCTACATGGAGCTCGCGTTAATCCATCTTCACGGTTAAAGCATCATGCACTATAAATACCGAAATCACTTACTTAACATTTGAACAACATTATAATCTCTCTTCATGACTCAAGTGAGAAGCATTTTTATAATCTCTTTATATGTATATTATATGTGTATGTTAATTTTTTTTTATGAAGAATAATGTAAAATCTATAGTTGCAATATTTGTGAATATGTGAGCACCATGTATATTTATATAATAGTTATCTGCTGCATTGTTTTTTTATAACATCATGCGCCTATTTTATTTTAGTATAGTAGTTTTTTTATACTTGGTTATTCAAATCAATGTATACAAAGTATTGTAAAAACTATTTTAAAAGAGTAAGTATGGATTTTCTTGCCCATTCACATTTTTTTAAAACTATTTTTAACTTGTAATTTTGACTTTTAAAAGTGCCTTTTTAATAGGCCTAATCGAAATAAATGATTTGATTTTGACTCTGAAAAACAAAAAGAAAACTTAATTAAGAACGAACACTCAAAACGCTTAAAGAAAAATTATATTAGCTCTAGCAACTTTTAGCATTCATGACTGACTTCTTTTAATAATGAGAATAATACTTATAATTTAGCTTTAAAAATGGAAATATACAGATTTTTAAAGTGTAAAGAGTGTGCAAATTCTCGATGCATTTAAAACCAACTGGAACTACGTTGCAAGATAGTTAAAATATAATTTTACTGAAACAATCGTTTCTAAAATTCTAATAGATCCTCTCGTTACGTGTGCGCTTTCGCATTTCCCGAGGCTACCTGAGCTTTAACAAAAGACCTTAAAAATAAAACGGCCCGAACAGACGGACATAAAAATATATTTGTGTAGCCTATTGTTAAGTTGTAGTTTTAATGACAAGGCATTAATTATGATTATTTTACACAAAAGACTGCGGTAATCGCATACCAACTTTATTATGCGAAAATTTCTGCATTAAATTGAAGTGTTACACAAAATATAATACATTATGTATAACACTATACATAACAATTTTACTGTTCACTTATCTATAGATTTATCTTCCGCCATTTTCGTTGTCAGAATTAATAGTATAAAAGAACATATTTTAGCCGTTAATTAGATCCATTTAGATTGCTCGGTGGAAATTAAAAATTGTAAAAAATTTTGAAATAATTGTTAACAAGTTTAACATCCATGATAATTACAGTAGCATAAAATTTACATTTAGTACAATAGAATACGTTTGAGGGTTAGCTAAAGCATTAAAGACAGGATAAAAAATATTTGCTTTAAGTAAGACTTTTTACAAAAGATATTTGGTTAAAACAGTTTTGCGAAAGATAACATTAAATAGGTATTATAATAAAAATACAGTTGGATAATTCCACATTAAATTAAAATAAAATATAACTGTATGTATTTAATCAATCTGTTTTCTGTTTCTGTACCAAAAATGTAAAAATAAAAATAAAACAAAATAAAAACAATAAATAATAAAACAATATTTTTACTGTATTTAATATTGAGTCTGAATATTTAGGAATACTCTACGTGGATCTTACCAATTTGGAAGGCTTTTGAAATGGTTTGAATGGCTTTTGGATTGGTTATTGCTCCAGCAAATAACATAAAAATTAATTAATCCTATTTTACTGTTGAATTTTGTTATTCGAAGTAACCGCAAATGCCAAGACTGAGAATGGGTTTTATCGCCGTAGATTGGGAGATAATTTCAATACGTACAAATTGTTTAAATGTTGTTATGCGGCCTTGGATACTTAAACTATGTTGTGTTATATTAATTATTTGATTATAGGAATTCAGAATACATTTATACTATAAATATCAGTCTTAGAACAATGTTAATATAATTATCTAATCCTCTTATAAAGAATCAACTAACGGTCTGTTAACTTAAAAGATTCGTAAGCGAGGCCTTAGAATATTAATTGCAACCGTCACAATATATTACACTAAATAAATCAGTGGCGCTGCAACCTTTTTAGGTCTGAGCCTCAGATTTCAGTATCTATTTCATGATCATTTGTCAATCTAACAGGCAAGTAGGTGATCAGCCTCCTGTACCTGACACACGCCGTCGACTTTTTGGGTCTAAGGCAAGCCGGAATTCTCACGATGTTTTTCTTCAACGTCCGAGCGAATGTTAAATGCGCACATATAAAGAAAGTCCATTGGTGCACAACTTGGGATCGAACCTACGACTACTAGGCCAAGACACATATCTAATAGATTAAAATATTATTTTAGTCCGTTTAAATTCAGCCATTCCACATCAGTCCCGCATTTTTCATTATTAAACCGGTCTAAGCGGATTAACTAATTGCAGCCGGCGATTTTCATAGAGATGTGAAGAATTCTAATTTCGTGTGATTTGTATTTAATTATCTGGTCAATTGTTAATGAGGTTCGTAACTTATAACTATTACATCTTTTATTTACCAGATTTATCGAAGTGAATGAGTCAAAACGCGAACTGAAATAGTTTTCTGGTAATTTAGATAAACAGTAACTAAATGTTACCGGGTTTAGTTTAATTATATACCAAGTAAACTGGAGTGGACTGTGAAAGCTTTAAATTATAATGAAGTACCCTTCACTTCACTTTTATGCGCTACTTTAGACTATAAATTATACTAGGTTTATAACGCTCTAATCCAGTTTTAAAGGTCCGGACCATGGAAATTCTAAATTTTACTACAACGAAAAAAAAACACAGAGTTGACAGGAACAAAGTAGCCAATTGGAGGACTTTGCCAACTGTAGGCGTACAGATAGAAACATCGATATTTAAATATTAGTAAGCAAATGTAAATAAAGGGTAATATTATTATGATTAATCTAGTTTCAATTTTTATACAAAACGGACGTCCATAAGAGGCAAACAAACACCATGCCCTATTTGGTATTCAAATAAATAAGTTTTATCAAAACATCTCAATTTATTTATTTATTTTTTTGCAGGTGTTCGTGACGATGTGTGAGCGGTGAGAGCAACAGTCGCGCGATGTTGCGCGCACTTGTCTATCTGTTGGTCGCTTCGGCGGCCGCTGAACATGTTCGCGAATTCACCGTCAGAGAGAACGCTCGCGCCGGTACTCTAGTTGGCCATCTGGGTGATGAGCTTCCCGACGCCGCCCCACCGTACACGATAGTCCCCGTCCCGGGTAGTGCCGTAAATGACGACCTTAAAATAGACCCCCACACTGGTGAAATACGGACACGAGTGCCATTAGATAGAGAGAATAGGGACCATTACGCTCTAGTCGCTATCCCCGCGAGCGGAGATAATATCCGCGTAGTCGTCCGCGTTTCCGATGAAAACGATAACGCGCCTACATTCCCAACTGCTATCATGAACGTTGAGTTCTCTGAAAATACACCCAGAGACGTTAAAAGAAAACTTAATCCTGCCAAAGATCAGGACCTAGGCATTTTTAACACCCAACGGTATAATATAGTATCTGGCAATACAGATAACGCGTTCAGACTATCATCGCATAGAGAACGAGATGGTGTTTTGTATTTGGATCTGCAAATCAACGGTTTTCTTGATAGAGAAACTACAGATCACTATAAATTAGTTATAGAAGCTTTAGATGGAGGTACTCCACCATTAAGAGGGACGATGACGGTAAATATTACAATTCTAGACGTAAATGACAATCCCCCAGTATTCGCTGAAAGTGCTTATTCGGCTATGATCCCCGAAAACGCTACAGTAGGAACAGCTGTATTAAAAGTATTTGCAATAGACTCTGATGCGGCTGAAAATGGACTCATTGAGTATTCTATCAACCGCAGACAAAGCGATAAAGAAAATATGTTTAGAATAGATCCAGATACAGGAGAAATTACTGTAAACAAAGCTTTAGACTTCGAGACCAAAGAGTTGCATGAATTAGTTGTCGTTGCTAGAGATAAAGGCGCGCAGCCTTTAGAAACGACCGCATTTGTATCCATACGTGTTACAGATGTGAATGATAATCAGCCGACAATAGACGTGATATTTTTGAGTGACGATGCCACACCAAAAATTTCTGAGGCGGCGCAGTTGGATGAATTTGTTGCCCGAATATCTGTTCACGACCCAGATTCTAAGACGGAATATTCAAACGTTAATGTAACATTAAGCGGTGGCGATGGACATTTCGATTTGCGAACGCACGATAATATCATATACTTAGTGGTAGTTGCTTTACCGTTAGATCGAGAATCTCAGTCGTCGTACACGCTGAATGTAGTTGCAACCGATAAAGGCTCGCCCCCGTTACACGCTTCGCGTATAATCAATCTACGGGTGACAGATGTTAATGATAACCCTCCAGCATTTCTGGAGAGCGTTTACAGAACTAGTGTACCCGAAGCTGCAACTGCTGGTACTCCGGTCATTCAAGTATCTGCGAGTGATGTTGACGAAGATGAAAATTCGGATATTCGTTACTCTTTGCTTCCCACTGCTCAATCTGATTGGTTTTCCATTGATGAGCGTTCTGGTCTCGTTACTACTCGGTCTCGTGTAGATTGCGAGACAAACCCCATGCCTAGTTTGACGGTGGTGGCGAGCGATCGTGGCAGCCCTCCCTTATCCTCCACCGCGACTCTCCTGGTAACAGTTCTGGATGTGAATGACAACGAGCCGATCTTCGACCAGTCTTTCTACAATGTCACCGTGCCTGAGAATGAAGCAGTTGGCAGCTGTATTTTAAAGGTAAGTTGTAGTCCGTAAAAGTAATTATTTAAGTTTCCCATTCAATTGCAATGTCAAATAACATAGAAAATATTAAAAATTAAATAAAAAAGTAACCTTAATATATTCCAAACAAAATTTATAAATTACTCTACTAAGTGCATTCTTCAAACCCAAGGCGTAAGTACAATATGAATGCTTTTCTAACAATAAAGTGGAATATGTAGCTATAATTTAAGAGAAATAAAATGTAGAGGGACTTTCTCTACGTGTCGGTGATTACAGCTTCCGATGTTACATTAAAGGCTTTGGACTACGTATTAATCATAACTGTATCAGACGGATAGAGTCATTTCGAAATTGTAGGTTTTATTACACGCTATTTACTTTAAAAGTTTTGGAAACTCTGATATTAGCCTACATATACGATATGGTTCATTATGTATCTTCAGATGTGAAAGTTAGTATCGTGTCGAGCGATTATGTCTGCTTGTCGCTGAAAATGTCAGGGAAATGTCAGGCAAGTTTTCGAGGCACATGTAGTAATTGTTTGTGAGCTTCCTAGAGTTTAAGTAATTGTTTATAAATTGCCTCATGGGCGGTGAACGAATTTCGAAACGAAGAACGAAATTCTGGACGAATATGATTCTTAAATAAAATAATTAAAAGTTAACTGAACCGATATTTTAAAGTTAACAGTAAGTCAATATTGCTTTATTTAACGGTGTGCGAATATAATATTTTCCACGTACCTTTGGTTAGTTGAAGCAGAATTATCAACAATCTTTAAACATTGTTCGCGAGCGGTTCCGATAAACAAGCCTCGACAATTAGTCAGTGAGACAGATCAATTTCTTTTATCTCCAACCGCCCGGTACGTGAATTTGTTAAAAAACCTTCCGATTTTCATTAAAGCTTATCGGTCGAATCCGCCAGGTAATAACTTACGGATAATTCGTTTTAATATATGAAACATAGTCATAAGTGAGGGATATAAATCTATCTCGCGAAGTGATGCGAGTTTCGGCGCAGGTTGGAGCGCATCGCAAATTGCGATCTAAATTGAAATTTAAACAGTGTACGGAGCCCCGGGCGCTTCAGCCAATAAGCTTTTGGCGGCCGGACTTGTATTGAAACGACTGTCAAGCATTAAGCAATTTCCTAGTGCTATTTTATTGTTATATAAATAGTGTGTTATTATTTGATCTTATAATTTACGACAACGCGAGGTTATATTTGATTTTGTTTTCTCGAAAGGTTAAACATTTATTACAGATTCTGTTCTATATTTCAGTGTTATTGATTCGGTTCTAATAAAAAAGTAGATTTTAAAGAGTCTTTTCTGTTCTTCCTTAAAATTCTCAGACATTGATAATAAATTCCGCAAATATGTATATTCCCTTTTAAGGTCATTGCTCCCACCCCACATACGTTTGAATTGTACGTGATTTGTATTCGTATGGTTTCATTAGATCACTGCGAACAGCGTTGTGGCTTAGTCAAAGTCAAAATCATTTATTCATATAGGTAACACATTGTACACTTATGAACGTCAAAAAAAATATATATGTGAAATGCTTATTATTTTACATTTACTGCCAGTTCTCAAATCAAGGGCGTAGAACGGAAGAGAAGAACTGGCAATAAACTCCTATATTATTAGTAGATTGTTTATCTCAAACCCTTATATGTACTGATAGTTCTTAGATTTTTTCGCAGACTGCGAAGTTAGTTTGTTCTGTGAAAACATACGTTCTCGTTCCTTTAACTTTTATTTTTTCTTGAGAAAAAATAGGAATGCAAGTCGATCTTGTTCTGTCACCTTATCTTTTAATCTATTGATTGCATCATGGTTATACTAGTCCTAACTACGTTAAGGACGCAAAATGAGCTTGTCCGGATCAGATAGTTATAATTAAGTTTTTTTAATGACTCCTAGGCGCTGGCATAACAGGTAGTCAACCCTGGTATTATTTAGTTTTAAACAATTGCCAAACTGGAATCATTATTTACACGTAAAAGCCTTAAATTCGTGTAAGTTAACAGTTTTGCATTACCGTTTAAGAGTTCATTACATTTCTCAATGGGGTTATAATAGTCCATTTCGAACGTTGTAAATTATAAGTTACAATGTAGAGATTAGATTCTGATATCACAAAGCGATCAAGATAGACCGTACGTGTGCCTACTGCGGAATCGAACCTTAATGTTATACAATTGTTGCGAATGTGAGCTTGCTCTGATGCTATCCAATGAATTAACATCTGAAACCTTCCGATTGGAATGAGGTGATGCACCAACATTTATCAGAACATGGGAAAATCAACGAACTATAAGAAATCAGATTGGACGGAGCTATGCTATTTTATATTATTTATTTATTATTACCTATTCGTTAGGTTTAAAGACATTTATACTGTGTAATATACTATCTATATAATAAAGAAATATTTGTATGTTCGTATACTTATATCGAATAAACTCAAAAACTACAAGACCGATTACATAATTACCTACTAATTTTATTTAACATTTTCATTTTACATAGAAGTTAGTTATATAATTTTTTAAATATAAAAAAATGCATATTATAAGTAAATTTATAGTAGTGTGTACTTAATATCCTTGGAGCACAATTTAGGTCGTATTAGCTACAGACATATAAACCTACAGACATATACATTTTTAAGAAAATCGAAAATCTTAATTACTCCTTGCAAGATTGTGAATTGTCCCCTAATACGGATAATGAGTGAATTTTAATCGTTATGCTTATGGTAATGTCATTTGAATGGACTGTTCCAAACGGTTTATTATATTAAAGTTATATTCTCATTCAATTACAATGTCCTCTATATAAAGTATACAATGAAAAATCTGTGGCGAGCTTGGCAGCTCACTACAGTACTTGGAATAATTCAATACCACACATATTGTGGACTCTAACAGAGTAATATAATGATAATGTCGTCTCATAATATAACTATATTAAAATAAGATATATTTACGAACAAATACCTTTGTAAAATCTTTATCGATAAAAACACGGCTACGTCGGAAATACAAGACAAGAAATCAAGTTGCCATTATTACGCCTATCCTTCGCGTCTATTGACGTCAAAGAAGTAAGAATTACCAACGCTCTTCACAAGCGCCCACATTAGAAGCCTTTAAAATCAGTAGCGGTACTAGCTCAATCTTCAATAACCTGATAACGTACGACCGCCATGTTGGATTCTATGCGTTGCTATGGTTACCGCGTGATTGCGCGCGTTGGATTGTCTACGGTATTTTAAGTTCGACATTCCTTACTTAAGACTATTAATGCCCACAACCAAGCTTATTTTTTTCTAAATAGATAGTACATATGGTAAAAGAACATGGGATATTTCAATCTAATCTTAATATTAAATTTAATTAATTGCCATTTTACACCTCGCAACAAAACATATTTATTTCTATAATTGCTCAGTATAAGTTTATGATATGAAAATTGGCTCTTATCTCATGCCATTTAATGAATCTATAGTCTACGTGAGTGAAGGCTCTTCAATAAATTGGTCTAGCGAAGCTTAAATAGTCGTAAACACCCGGGGGACACGTTCCCTTATGGTTCATAGTCACGCGATTGTTAATGATGTAACTGAATAAATTTATGGTCCCGAACTGCACAGAACCGGTGGTAATTTCAAAATTGGAATGTGCAAATTTTTAGCTAACGAATCCAAAAGGTATTCGGATGCCAGACATTTTTTTTTAAGTTTTCAACTGCCATCCATATTGGAGCTGTCAATTGTCAAATTCGAAATTTACTTTTCTTTGCTTTAACGGCTAGTATTTTTTTATTTGACGCAGACAATCAAAGCATTAAAAATATCTATTCAGCAACTACGTTGTTTGTAATACAGAAGTACTATACGTATTGCACATTATTTAAAAATACTTTTAATTACAAAATAGATTCAAAGAAATTTACACTTAGAACTATAATATATACTAGGATACTTATCCCTTGAACATGTTTATGATTAGTCTGCATATTTGCATACTGATGAAATAAAGATTAATTAACGAGCGACAAAAGCTTGTGAGTTATAAAAATTGTATTTTATATATACTTAACGAGATAATTGATTTTTAATTCATATATTATTATCTGTCATTAGCCCTACACGCATAAATTCGACAATTATAGTGCCACAAAGATATGAACTCCTAATTTCCAAAACAAATAAGACAAGGTCTAATTCTAAAGCTGAATAAAAATCTTTAAGTAAAGGCATTAACTCTTTTTTTCACCCATAAACCTTATAAATCATGAATTTTATTTCATACCACGTCGTTATTAATTTCGACATTAATTTAGATTGGAAATTTGCTTAAGTCAAATATTATTAGAATTACAAAGGATAACAAATTAAGCTGGTGCTTTCCTCGCTCAACGAATAAGTATCGCAATACATATAGGGACCAAACATTTTAAATTGTTTTTCATTTTCATTTTCTTTTTATTAATTTTTAATTATTTTTATTATTACTAAGTAGGTTAAAATTGTAAATCTGTATATTTGATTGTTATGATTATTAAAAATCCAATTGAAAAAGTAAAAATTAAATATATTTAAATTTCTTATAAATTACTAATTATAAATCGACTGAAAAATTAGTATTCTACAGCTAAAGTATTATGTAAATGAAAGTGTATCACGATTATAATTTCGATTTCGTTTTCTCTCAAGATTACTGTCCATTAAGTTATGCGCGAAATGGATCGCGTGCATAGAGCACAAATTAATTAGTGATGTAATTAGAATATATCTTTTGTTACGGCCAACTATTTTATAATTACTCATTTCACGTCGTGGTTTATTAGTTAAATTGCCCGATTTCTCGTTTATCTATATATAATTTTAATAGACTGTTTATGCAATAAATTTCTGGGATATTATGGAAAGTAAATCACATTCGAAAGGAATCAATTATACATGGATTGCATACGCAAAAAATATTCCACAACTACGTATTTTATACCACGAAAA